ATTATTATTAAGACGTTGCCCCAAATGTCCTTTTAACTGTATCAGGAATGCTCAATTTCATACTGTTTGGGCATGTTTTTCTGCAAATTACTGATTGGAACCATTTACTTCCTGCTATTTTTCACAAAGCATAGTAAAATACCTCCTCTTCTCAGAGAAGGAAAATGGATGTGGGAAGCAGGGGGAAGCAGCTTCATACTCAGACAAAACCAGTGTCAAAAAGTTAATTTTCATAATTCAGTTTCAGTTCTGCCTTCTGTGCTTTTCATAGTCTGCTTCTACCTCTCTGCATTTTTCAATTTATAATGAATCTGAAAGCTGGAATTCAAATTCAACTGCATTAATGTCCCACTTCTTCTTTCCAGTCTGTAAGAACTTAAGTTGTCCTGGGTCAGCTAGACCCAATGCCTGTTTTATACCAACTGAAAGACACATAAAGGAGCACAAAGCTATCAATGACCATCAGTCACAACAGTCCCTGCAGAGGCAGTATCCTGGGGATCTCAGATAGAAAAATGCAAAAACAATTGGAAAACATGCAGGAGAGCAAGTAAAACCTGCTTCATGCACAAGGCCTCAACAGTGGTGGAAGCCTGCAGTGCTACAAATAGCTCTGAAGTTAAGACGTGGCCACAAATCACTCCCAAAGCGAAAATAAAAGGAAAAAAAGAGAAATTTCATCAGTTGTAGACCCAAAAGAAAGCAGCAACTGAAGGTTCACAAGCTTGTGGTGAAATCAGTGTCAGGTCTATAAGCCCTCTGGAAACTTTAAAGAGCCATCAAAAAATAGTACAAGAAGATCATGTGGTTGGGAAAAATCTTAGGGAAGAAGACTTCTCTAATTGGTTGATAAGAAAACAGCAAAGATTTGGAAAAACCACTGGAACACATGTAGGGGAGCAAGTAAATCTTGTTTCACATAAAATGGCTAAAAATTGGAGGAAGGCTGCAGGGCTACTAGTTCCTCTGAAGGATAGCAAAAGGCCACAGGTTGCTCTCAAAAAAATAACAGACAATGTAGAGAAAAAGGATGAGTTGAAAATCCAAAAGGAAGTGGCTACCATAATTTCAGAACCTTTTAGTGACATCAGCCTGAGTGTTAAAAACTCTATGGAACGGTTAAAGAGACATCGGACAATGGTACAGAAAGTTCATGAGCTTGGCAACAAACCAAGTGAAGAATATTTATTTGTTAGGTTGCTCACAAAGGGGGAACAATTTGCAAAAACTATTTGAAAACATGCAGGAGAGCAAGTAAAACCTGCTTCATGCACAAGGCCTCAACAATGGTGGAAGCCTGCAGTGCTACAAATAGCTCTGAAGCTTAAGAAGTGGCCACAAGTCATTCTCAAAGCAAAAAAAAAAAAGGGGGGGGATCTCATCAGTTGGAGATTCAAACTGTTAATAATTGTGACAAGAAATGTCTTAAAATGTGGCAAAATTCACTTAGCAATGGTTTCACTTAGCAACAGAAATGTTGGGCTCCATTGTGATAGTAAGTCGAGGACTACTGAAATAGATTTAATTATTGTGTTCTAGAAACCAGGAAGGGGCAGCTTTTCTGGGCCAAGGGCTGCATACACACTATATTGCAATAGTCACATTCCAGAATATATTGCACGAGGCTGGAGAAACAGTATACCAAATTTCATTTCATTTACAATTAATGAATTATTAAATAGAATTAATGCAATTCCTTTATAGTCATCTCTTAATAATTTCTCTTGATTGTTAGTTCTATCCCCAGTTCAACTTTGCCAGTATCAAACTTATCTTGAGAAGCAGCCTACAAGACATACCTCAAAGATATTGCAGGTTTGATTCCAGACCACCACGATAAAGCATATCCAGGTAGTCTTCTACGTATGACCACAATTGAGGCCAAAATTTATGTTGTTAAGGGAGATAGCTGTTAAGTGAATTTTGTCCCATTTTATGCCCTTTCTTGTCAGAGATGTTACATGAATCATTACAGCGGCTAAGTTAGTGACATGGTTATTAAGTAAATCTGGCTTCCCCATTGACTTTGCTTGCCAGAAGCGTGACCCGTCAAAACCGCGGTCCACTAAAGCGCGCCCGATTAAAGCGCGTACCTGACGTCATCAGCAGCGCGACA